GGGGTAGGAGGTGGATAGCGAGGGTTGGGGGGCGCTGCAAGTCAGGCTGTGGGAATCAGCTCTCTCCTACCACGTGGGCCCCAGGAATCAGGCTCAGGTTGTGGCTTCACACATCTTTACTCAGCCATTTGTTAGGATCTCGACCTCAGGGTATCTTGCTGTATTTGAAGTTCTCTGATGGTCTATATTGGTTGGCCCTTGAGTTCTCAGGGTTCACCTACCCTGTCCCTGCCAGGGATGCTGTTACTGCTGTATACCACCACGCCAATTTTTTAAGTGCAGATCAGAACTTGGTCATTACGCTTGAATGGTGAGCACTTCCACAGAACCATCTCCCAGCTCCTCGGTCTTGTTTTGTTTGCCTGTCCTTCCCTTTCACCCAGAGCTGCTTGTCTTCTTCCCCAAGAGGCACAGCAATAGTCCTGGTCACTGTTGGGTGACCAAGCCTGTCATGCCTGGGAAGCTTGGAAGCCAACATTCAGCTCGGTTGCTCTTTTGCGTGTTCTTTAGGGTGGCTCACCCCAGCTTTGCTTTCTGAGAAAACAAGGCTGAACTTTGTTCAGCCAAAGCCTGATTTCCCTGAGGTCTGCTGTTTGTTCCCCGGCCTGCCTCCCTCCAGCTGCTCGCCTGTTGGCCAGTCTCCCTCACACTGCTGTCTGCTTCCTCAGCTCTAGCACCTACTTCTTGGAAGGTAGCCATATGGGGCCCAGCAGATGGAATACAGGCCTTTTACTGGTCATGACCTGCTGGCCTTGACTTCACTACCAAGGTATCCAGAAAGAGTCAATGGATGAGCTTGGTACCCTTTGAGGCCCACTGAGGCGAGCACGAGTGAGCAGCGTGGCTCCGGGGCTCTAGGGTAGCTTTGCTTGACTCACACTTGAAGTTCCTTGAAGAATGGAAAGACAGAAAGAGAGAGAGAGAGAGAGAGAGAGAGAGAGAGAGAGAGAGAGAGAGAAAGAAAGTCGACAATAATGAAAGTAAAGACTAGTGGTAACAAAGGACGGCTTCTTTCTGGATACCTTGTGTTCTAAAACTCTTTCTTCAGACTTTCCTCCTCTTCTTCCTTCTCCTCCTCTTGTTCCTCCTTCTCTTCCTCATTCCCTCCTCTTCTTCCTCTTCATTCTTTCTCTTCTTCTTTCTGTTCTTCCACTTCTTCATCTTTCTCTTTTCCTTTATTTTCATCTCCTTTTTCTTTTAACTGTTATTACATTTATGTGTATATGCCATGTACACTGTGTGTATGTGTGTGTAGGTCAAAGGACAACTGTGGGAATCAGTTCTCTCTACCCCCGTCTGAGTCCCAAGGACTGAACTCAAATCATCTGGTTTGGCAGCAAACATCTTTACTGGCTGAGTCTTCTTACCAGCCCCCAACTTTCTATCTTATATTTCCTGTCTCTCTTGGCTTCTCTTTGTTTCCATAGAAACTACATCTCTGGTCCCTGGGTTCTTATGCCCTTTTAGACTCCTGTAGTTTTGGATCCTCTTTTCCTCTTGTCAGACCCCAAATTTGATACCAAGAAGGTCTAGCCTAAGGGGACACATTCCACATCAGTCCCACTATCTCACCTAGCATCCTCACACTGCCAGACTCTCCTGGGCCATAGAATAGGCTTTGATTTTCTTGAAACATATTTATGATAATTTGATATAATTTTCAACATTTAAGAAACAGAAAATCATTTTTGAAAGTCCAGATTTTTAGCTTGCCTTTCAGCACCATGGTGTAATTGCCTGCTTTGGGGTGTTCACTGGCTAGAACAAAGAGGCAGCTGCCCCTGCATGGCTCACTGTCCACACTACACCATCGCTACATCCAAGCATGTCTGTCTAGACGTTGGGACAGGGGATTAGACACTACTGATGAATGGGTTTATCCCTTCTCACCCTCTAAACCACCTCACAGGCAGAATGTCTGACCCTTCCTTCCAGGCATTTTAGTTTGTGCCCTGGGTAAGGTAGAGTTTTCCTGGCAATCATTTCCCATCTCCAGTGGACTTGTTGCCACCATGTTTCTAATGGGTCATTCTAATTCTTGCCCAGGGCTCTCAGGTTCTTAATCTCTCCAGGAGGCCCTGCCCCATGCATGACTGCAAATACTGAGGCCATCTGTCTTAGTGCCTTGGCTTCTTTCTTTTCCTCCTCCAAGATCTCTCTCAAGATAATGACCGACGGTGTTAACAGCAGGGTCAAGAGTTAGGACTGTCCTTCCTGAATATCCCACCTGTCCTACCCGAAGACATCACCATCCCAACTCCAGAGGAAAATGCCCTTGAGTTTCTATATCGTTTTGCCATCAAAATACGTATGTAAATAGATTCTCATTGCTGTTTTACTCCCGATTGCCTCTGTAGGCACATTAGCCTCTGGCTGTTGGCCATGTTGGAATCCTTCATGTCACACTGATTTGACTGTTTGTCACAGTAGATATTGAAAGAGATATGCCAGTGTCTCCCCACTGTGACCTTGGGGTTATCTATAGGTAGATTCACTACTATTTGTTTTTTATATTTTCAAGGTAAATCTGTTCAATTTTATGTTACACTGAATTTCTGTGACTAAGAAATGTTCTTTATCCCCAGTCATGCCTTTGCTTATATTCACTGAATTGTTATTTTGTCTTACTTTCTTAAGAGTTATTTTTATGTCTGTATGCATCTCTGTGGGAGTATGCATATGTAAGGGCAATGCCAGTGGAGATCAGAAGAGTGTTAGAACCCCTGGACTGGAGAGAAGATGCTTGTGAGCCACCTGGTGTGGGTGCTGGGAGTCTGAACTTAAGTCCCTAGAAGAGCAACAGTGCTCTTAACCCTTGAGCCATCTCTCCAGCTCCCGTCAACTCCCTCCCTACTCTCTCACTTTGTCTTTCCCACCCTTTCATTTCTCTGTACTTCTTTAAGGATTTGCTTCACCTTGATTTCTTATCTTATGGAAACCATCTATGACATTAAATTTATTTGTTAGAGTTTTTATTGTAAAAATCCCCACTTGGTTCCTTTTTTCTGATTTGCAAATACCCTCTCTTTCAAAACATTTATTTGCTTTATTTATTTATTTATTTATTTATTTATTTATTTATTTATGTGTGTGTGTGCATGAGTAGGTACACCGCATGCAGTCAGGGGCCCACAGAGGTCAGAAGAGGCATCAGAGCTCTTGGAACTAGCTATAAGCCACCATGTGGCTGCTGAGACCAAAACCTGAGTCCTCTGAAAGAACAGCAACTGCTGAGACATCTCTCCAGCCCCCCCAAATATCTTCTGAATTTCTCAGCCTCCCCCCCCATCTCCATGCACTAGAAATTGTGTGTAAAGTGTACCTCTGATAACATTGTATCTGAAGTTTATAGAGTCTATTGTTATTCTGTTGACCATTGTTCTGACAAATCTTGCTAGTCTTTCTTCCTGGTTTGGACATACTTATAAAGCTAATAGTAGGAATAGTTTGAGGCCTCAGAAGATTCCACTCTCCTCTAGAAAGATTTGCTTTGTTTTTTTACCAAAAGGCAGGGGACACTAGCACCCCGAGATTAATTAAACCAATTTCATGGGTTGAGGTGATTTGAAAGTCATTGGCTTCAAAAGCCTGCCTCTTTCTCATTCAAATTCACAGCCTGGTATTCTTGAGACATTCATTTTGGTGGATCCTACACCCCAGTACCTGTTCCTCTTGTCTTATGATGCTTTGGGAAATGCTGCTCAGCCTCAGTGTGCTGCTGCTCTTGTGTCAACTTGACACACAAACTAGAGTTATCTAAAAGGAGGGAACCAAGGTTGAGAAGAGTCCTCCATAAGATCCTGCTGTAAGGCATTTTCTTAATTAGTGAATCAGTGGGGGAGGACCCAGCCTGTGGTGGGTGGTGCCATCCCTGGGTGGTGGTCCTTCATTCTAGAAGAATGAAGGCTTAGCAAGCCATGTGGAGTAAGCCATTAAGCAGTACCCCTCCATGGCCTTTACATCAGCTTCTGCCTCCAGGTTTCTGCTCCCTTTGGCTTTGTGTCCTGGCTTCTGTCAATGATGAACAGTACTTCGGAAGTATAAGCCACATAAACCCTTTGCTTTTTGGTCATGGTGTTTTGTCAAAGCAATAGAAACCCTAACGAAGACAACATGACTGCCACCTGGGAGGAAACATGAGTTCATACTTTGGGCTTATGCCCTGGGGAATTCTAGTTTGTTAAATTTAAATCTTCACTGTTATGTCAGCCATCTAATGCATTCAGGAGGGGTGTGTGTGTGTGTGTGTGTGTGTGTGTGTGTGTGTGTGTCTGCTATCTACACCCGTGTGTGAGTGTAGAGGCCAGAGGACATCAGGGGTCCTGCTCCATCACTTTCTATCTGATGACCCTGAGACAGGCTTTCTTGCTGAACCTGAAGCAAGCCCCAGCGATCTTCCTCTCTGTCTTCCTCCTACAGTGCTGGGATTATAGGTGAGTGTAGCCATGCCAGGTTTCTCACATGGGTGCTGGGGATTCAAACTCAGACCCTCATGCTTGTGCAGCAGCCTCCTTACCCATGGAACCAACTTTACAGCCCCAGGGAGATGCTGTTTATATTTTGTGCTGTTTGGATGAGTTACCTAGTCTACTGCTTTTTCGTTTCTAGTTTCTCATTGACAGACTTCTGGCCTTTGTTTTCTTTAGACCTCAGGGGAGAAGGCCTGCTTCTCTCTCAAATAGGCCCTTCGTGGCATGGGCTGGTCATCTTTCCCTTCACATTCGTCTAGAATTGTAAATCCTCTTCAGTCTCTCCCTGGGCACTAAAACCTTCCCCACAAACACATTCAACTGTCTTCTATACAAACACAACTGATTTTCTTCCCCCTAAGGCCTTCCACCTTTTGTAATCACTAACCTAGATGGTGCTATTTTTGGTGAAAGTTCTTGATAGAACAGTTTATCAACTTCTGTGTTTCTTTCTCCCCCTCCAGATCCACACTGACAAGCCTGCTTAGACCAGTGCTCCTAAGTGTTCCTGTCTTGATGGATTAGCTTGGCCAGGACAAGTTTACACATCACTGGAGAAGTGTGAAGAGGGAGTGCGGATGGAAAAAAAATAGAGACACAAGAAGAGGTTTATAATGTTTGAAATTAGGCAGCCCAGCCCGGAACTTTCCATAAAAACTTTCTCCTGGCTCCTCCTCTTTCCTCCCTTTTATTGCCAGAGTATCTGAATGGGCAAGCCTGCCTTGCTGTTTCCATTACTCAAACACACACTTGGGTTTAAAGGGTGTGAGAACCACCCTACTTGCCCATGTAGGGCTTTAAAAAAACAAAACAAAACAGGGTCTCATATAGCTCAGGGTGGTCTTCAGACTCCTTATGTGGCTGAGGATGACCTTGAACTTTTTTTTAAATTTACTTATTTTTTTATTACATATACAGTGTTCTGTCTGCATGTTTGCCTATACACCAGGAGAGGGCACCAGAACTCATGATAGATGGTTGTAACCACCATGTGGTTGCTGGGAATTGAACTCAGGACCTCTGGAAGAACAGTCAATGCTCTTAACCTCTGATCCATCTCTCCAGCCACAACCTTGAACTTCTGATCCTCTTGCCTCTACCTTCCTAGTATTGGGATTACAGACATTCAACAACATGCCTGGTTTATGAGGTGCTGGGGATTGAACCTAAGGCTCTATGTAAGTCATTCCCAGCCCCACAACAGGCTTCTTTTGGTATATATCCTGTCCAGTCCTTTGAAGACTTTGCAATGGCTTTACCACCCCCTTTCTCTCTGAGTGGCTCCTCCCCTGGGTGCTGGGGAGTTTGAGACTCTATGGTCTTCCAACCACTCATTCCATTTCACTTTCTGCTTCTTTTCTAAAGGGAGAGGTTCCTAAACTTCCTTGGCCCTCTTTTGGTCTCTTCCCATTGCTCTTGATGGACTCCTTGCCTTTGTTAATGGTGGCTTCCATCACTCCTTTTGATGCCCAGAATTAGCTTTCTGGTCAAGGCCACTCAGTAGGGTTCTTGTACTTTTTGCATTTCTCAATGACTGCTGTTTATTTCTTCAGTGTGTCCTAGAAGCCCTTCAAAATTATTCTTAAAGTTGAGTTCATAGTTTCCATCCACAAACTTCCTCTTTCTTGTAATCCCCCCATGTGAATATCATGATACACCCCTGCACCCATTTTACCCCTCATATTACGTACTTTTAGGTTCTGCCTAGGACAATAAGACACTACACACAATGTTCACATATCTTGAATTTGTTTTTTCTCAGCCATAAAATGGGAGCAATCCTTACTAACCACCAATTTACTGGTGGGATTAAATGATTTACAAATATATGCAAGACATATTGGAGATAGCGTCTTCTATATACCACAGGCTAGCCTCAGGTTCACAGTGATTTTCTTTTTCCTTAGTCTCCTGAGTGCTGGGATTTCAGGCATGATCCATCATGCCCAGTTCATTACTAAAAATGTTGTTTCAGAATGTAAGCTCCTTAAGAGCAAGGCTCAGTTCTAGTTAATCAATATAGCTCCAAGTACTCACTACTGATCAAATGAACAAATGAATACAGCATAATTTTCCTAACTCCATGTCCAAAGCCAGCATTGTATTCACTAAGGAAAAGATCAAGCCTAGTCAATCTTGTCCTGTTTAATGCCTACTGATTACAAGTGGCCACTAATTTGATACTCTTGCTTTATTTTTACCTGGTTGAATGGCTTGACTTCATAGCCAATGGCTGTTAAGAAGGGCGAAGTAATCAGGGACTAAACCCACTCAGCCTTAGCTCGCTGTTGCTTTCCCACAAGCTGGCCTGTCTGGTTAGCCGTCTAGTAGTTTAATGGTGTAGACAACTAACTGTCTTGGGTCACCAGCTCCCATCACCTATTTATTTTTGCATAATTTATCTAGGAAACTGCTTCATCTGTTTACTTCTCCTGATCTTTACTGAACAGTCTCTTGGGTTCCAGGCAGCCATCTGGTCTACACCCCTACTCTCATTTTCTGCTTTGACCTACTTCCTCCTCTTTGGTCTTAAAGGTGGGAATGCTGGCTGTTGTTGTCCTGAAAAACTAGCACTCAGCTGGAAAGCAGCCCTTCTCCGAGCGTGCATCAGGCCCCATACACCTGTCTGCTAACGTGGACATGCCAAGCACTTGTCTCCCTCCTGGGCCATCAGACACAGCTGAATACATTCGGCGGATGCTCTGGCAATTTGGTTATTCATTTTCTGTTCTCAGCTGATGTAGACCACCTGGCCATAGCTTGGCTCACCCACTTCCTAGTTCTCTTGGCAGATGGTGTCTGGCATCCACAGTGTGTTTCCTCTTTCCCTCCTTCTCCACTATCCTCCATTAGAGAGGTCCTTTCAGGGAAGAATAAATGGAGTCGAGGAATGAGTATATGAGGTAGCATCCCATAGAAGAACTTGGGAGATCTCAAAATATTGTTTTGGGGATTATAGAGATATGCTGTCTCTTTGAGTCCATTTTCTGATTAGTCTAAGACTTTGAAACTCTACTTTTTTTTTGGTCTTTACCACGATAGACTAAAAACAGTGTTCAACTACATCATCTAAGCTAAAGATGACTACAAAGATGGGCTCTCCAGTCTTCATTCACACCCCCTTAAAGATGATGTCTCACTTCTGCCAAGGAATAAGTAAATACAGAATGATGTGGCCATGGTGATTTAGTTCACTATTGCATCCAAGAGTCTAAGTTATTCTGTCATTCTTTCCTTTTGCATAATTGGCAATAATCATAATATAATTAATTCAAGATAAAATAGCAAAATCATCTCAAGGTGTAGGAAAAACAAGAGCCCCAAGACCCTCAACAGTGACTGGGAGGATAGCTCAATTAGTAAAGTACTTGTCTCACAAGCACAAGTACTTAAGTTCAAGCCCCAGAACCCTTGTAAAAAAGGATAGAGCACACACCTTTAATCCCAGCACTTGGGAGGCAGAGGCAGGTGGCTCTCTGTGAGTTTGAGGCCAGCCTGGTCTCCAGAGCAAGTGCCAGGATAGGCTCCAAAGCTACACAGAGAAACCCTGCCTCGAAAAACAAAACAAAACAAAACAAAAAAAAAAGAAAAAAGAAAAAGAAAAGAAAAAAAAGAACAGAGAGATCACTGATGTTAGTGACCATTCTAGCTTATAGGTAGATCAGTGGGAGATTCTACCTCAAAAAAAAAAGTATGGGATGATAGAACCTGAGGAATGACACCTAGAGTTGTCTTCTGGCTTCCACATGCACATACATACATACATACATACATACATACATACACACACACATACACACAATTTGGCATTAGAGAAGCCAAGACTGGGACCTGGATCTGATGAGTCTTCCTGAGGTCAATTTTTCTCAGGCTCTTAGGGAGAGCCTCCATGTAATCTGTTTTCCATGTGGTACTGGATATGAAAACCAAGGCCTGGTGTACCCTAGGCAGGCCTCTGTCATTGAGCCTCAGCCCCAGCCCCATCCTTATTCAAAGTTTCTTAAAACTTCCCATGAACAGAATCACACTTTCCCTTTTAGGTATGATTTTGAACAGGGCACAATTTCAGCACCTGAAAGGTTTAAGAGTTCAAGGTCATCCCCAGCTACCCGGTGAGTTTGAAGCCAGCCTGAACTATATGAAATCCTGTCTCAATACAAAAGTGATTCTGAGTAAAACATGGTTCCTGGATTATTTGTTTCCCAAGAGTTTCTTTGTGTGCAATCTCTAGAATAGTCACAAACTTTGGCTTTTCTCCTAACTTGGATGATACATTCCACTAAGTTGAAGCATGACTGACCTGTAGGGTCCAGAGAATGGACTACAATACTAGCTATGCTTTCAGTTTAAAGTATATAGCAAAACAAAGAAAAGGAATAAAGTCACCAATAGTTTTTTGTTGTTTTTTCCTTTTAGTTTTTTTTGGGGGGGTCTTTTGTTTGTTTTGTTTTGAGACATACTTCTCTATTATGTAGCTCTAGCTGTTCTGGAACTTGATATGTAGACCAGACTGGCCTTGAACTCACAGAGATGCTCTTTCCTCTGCCTCCCAAGTGCTGATTAAAAGCACGCACTGCCATGCCCAGCCTCAATCAATAGTTAGGAAGACAAATAGACAGGAAAACACCATCAGATCTAAGGCTCAAAATATCCAGCAGAAACCAACTAGAGAAGTGGAGGGTGACAACTGGATCCCTGGATACACTTCCTCTTCACGGTGGAGCTTCTGACTTCTTCCCATTTTGGGTGTTTTTATAGTATGGGATAAACACTAGTTACCTCCACTGAAAATGGCTTCCTTCTGGCTGTTCTGAAAGAAGAATGTTTTCACTTTTGGGTCTGTTTGGTTGATCTATTCTCTCACAGAGTTAGGGGACCAGTTGTACCCAGACAAGGGCCTCAGAGGACACTGAAACAAATACAATTGGGTCTGAAATGAGGAGGTGTCTACCTTGCTTCCAGAGCCAGATCCCCTGTGAGTCCAAATAGCATGTGACAATTTGCCAATCTGATACACATTACGATTACATAAGATGACTTTCAGTGAACATGGTACTTTGTAATTTCATAACAAAAAAACAGGCATATCTCATTTTATTTTCCTGGCATTAAGACTCTTTATATCTTACACTTAAACTGGCCTGTTGTAACTTTTGTTTTGAGACAGGTCTACCCTGAACTCTTAGTAGCAATCTTCCTGCAACGGTCTTGCAGAGTATTGGATTACAGGTATGAGAGCTACAGTGCCTTCATAATAATTTTCAGTACTTTATTCACAGTAGCCAAGTGAACCCAAGAGATTTTGTTTTTCTTGAAAACTATCAGTGTTCCTCTGTGTATGCAAGCTTTGCAATGTAGAGTGAAGATCAAAATTCCAAAGCCAGCCTTGGGCCACTATGGGTAGAGTGTGAGTCACAAGGATGCTTGTATGTCCCTCACACTCTGGCACCTTCTTACCCAGTCCTGCTATAGAGGGGGAAACTTTAAAAACATCATTTGGTTCCATGAGTTAAAAATAGAAGTGGCTGTGACATATTGCTAACTTTGAGAGCCATGGGGATGATCACTGGTTAAGGGTGGTGGGTCCAGCTCAGTGGCTGAGAGCCCAGATTTTGGAGGCCAGGACTCATCCTTCCTCTTTGGGGCTCCTTGTCGATGCCATGCATACAAAATT